CCAGGAGAACCAGAGGAGAACCAGAGGAGAACCAGAGGAGAGCCAGAGGAGAACCAGAGGAGAACCAGGAGAACCAGAGGAGAACCAGGAGAACCAGAGGAGAACCAGAGGAGAACCAGGAGAACCAGAGGAGAACCAGGAGAACCAGAGGAGAACCAGGAGAACCAGCAGAACCAGAACCAGCAGAACCAGAGTCTCACTGACTTCGCTCAGCAGAAACTAAAACTTGTTTCATTCCTTCATTTGTATTATTTTGATTGTTATATTGATTATGTATTAATTGGTGATTATTTTAGTTCTTGGTTATTCTGACGATTATCAGATTATAAAGCCACATTCTGCAGATTCAGGCCTTTTTTATGCAGCATTAGAAAAACGTGAAAAGCACTTTGACAATGTGCATATAAATAAAATGACCAAATAATAAGTTATTTAATCCTTTTTTAAATAAACATTTTCTTGCCTGAAATGCGACAGCAGCTTCCTTTAGAGATCAGCAGCTAAAAATCCTTCTAGCATAGAAATTTATTAAAAGATGTAAAAAAAAACATCTTTCAATGTTTAATAAAAGAAATGTGTCATCTTTATTGAAAGAGTTGATTATTTTATGAATCCATAATTGGATGTAAAATTTGTTTAATAGAAGATTTTTTACAGAATCTGAACCAGGAGAAACTGAACTGAGTTCTGGATAAAACGGATCTATAGATTTATTTTCATCTTAAATGTAAACTGTTTACATGTTTGTTCAGTTTTGGTGTAATTCCTGCTCAGTTTGCTCTTTCTGGAAATGGATTCATTTTATTGGGAGATGGACTGAATTGTGGATCAACAGGAAGTTAATATTTATTATTTCACTGCAGCAGATTCTGCATCATGAAATGTCTCCACATCAACCCAGAAGAACCAGATCCGTCCTCAGCGACTCAACAGAACGTTGATGCTCTGCTGTTCAGCAGCTCTTATTAAAACGGGTCGGCCCGTCATGTGACCCAGTTATCAAACACCAGTTTCCTAAAGGTCCCTTCACGTCCCGCCTCCTCATGCAGACAGACAGAGCAAGAAGCTGCAAGTTGATAAAAACAGATTCTGGGCGAGTCGGGGCAGAACCGCAGGCGCGGCTGAGCCGGGCCTGCAGACACAGATCCGCTCAGCGCCTCGGCTGCTGGGCTCCTCTGGATCCCAGGAGAAGGTCTGACTTTAGGATTTCGTCGCTCCAACAGGAGCAAAGCACAAAACGAAACTGAAGAAACCAGAAAACCCCGGGATGATCGGGTTCTTCCGTTTCTGTTGGTCCAGCTGCTTCTGGCTCCGGTTCCAGCTGGACCCACTTTCACCTCCACTGACCTTTCTGCGACTCGTGCCGCTCCGTTTTGCCCTGGTACTCGAAGCCCACGGCGCTCTTGTCCACTTTGTCCGTCTCAACGCCGAACTTCCCCCCGAAACCTTTGGCGTAATCTGCAAAGAAAAAAGTTTGTTTCCATCCCACATAATTTAAATCATTCCAGATATTCCTGATGATTTGACTGAAGGAAGCAGATTTTAGACGCTTCCTAAATGCAACTCTGAAATGCGTCTGTGACCCGAATGGACAGGAAGCAGCACAGTTTGTATCCAGTTTCACTTCCTGGTCCATTTTCAAACAGCTCAATAAGGAGGAAACTGACTGTACATCAAACATGGCAGTGGCAGCATCATAATGTGGGACAGGGAACCTAGAGCTGATGGGTCCATCCTGCAGGAAAACCTGTTAGAATCTGCAGAAGATGTGAGTCTGGGGTCAAAGTTCATCTTCCAGCAGGAGGAACTCGCTGACCAGGTTTAGATCAGAGCAGATTCATGTCCAGATCTGAATTCAACAGAAAATCCAAGACCTGAAAACTGACGTTCAGGCTCAGAGTTACATTTTTACAAGAAGCAGATCAGGAATTGTTTCCTTCCACCAAATTTTCCTTTGCTATAAAGAACGAACCTTTCTGTGACTCGTGTTTCTCCGTCTTGCCTTGATAGTCGAAGCCGACCGCGCTCTGGTCGACCCGATCCGCCTGAACGCCGTACCGCCCGCCGAACCCCGTGGTGTAGTCTGCACAGCGCAGGGGTCAGAGGTCAGAGTGAAGAAAACATTTCCTACCAGCACAGCAACATGTGAAGCTGCTGCTCAGCCGCTAACAGGAACTCTGGATTATTAATCTGGAGCAGAGCTGGATTTTTATCCTGCACATTCCAGGAATGTCTGAGGATCAGACGAGTCTGGACAAACCTTTCTGCGACGCGTGTTTCTCCGTCTTCCCAGCGTATTCAAAGCCGACGGCCGACTGCAACGAAACGGGAAAAACTGTTATTCAAATGTAAATAATCCAATAATTATGAATCCTGTTATTTGATGCTGGAATAAACAGGAGCGTCAGACATGAAGTGATTTATTGATGTTAGATTTCATTTCTTTGTGAAGCAGAGTCACAGAAACCTCCGACACGGTTCACCGCTCAGATGTTCCACCTCTTCAAAATCAACATGATTTGACAAAATAAAATCCAAAAACTTTATTTTAGATGTCAAAATAAAAATTAATTTCCAGAAAATAATGGCAAAAATACTGAGTTAGGCCAACTCGTTAAAGAGGGAGGATATGTATGCAACCATTTATTTGACAATATTTTTGCAAAAATCAGTTTTCATTTTTACATGAAAGGTTTTTTTCTGTCAATTTGTTGAAAAATTTACAACAAATATGAGAAATTAATAAATCTTCTCAATGTTGATGTTTTTAACTGTATAATCAAACATTTTGTGCATCTTTTGTTGTAGAAACGTGTGAATAATTTAAACAGGCACTGGGATGTAAACCTCCATCTGATTGGCTCTTTGTGTTGATTCAGGACCGGTTCTGACCTTACCAGGGGTCCGACTCATGTCTGCTGCTGATTGGTCGGTCGCCATGGTGATCCCAGGAACCAACGCTCGTTTACAATGTTTCCCTTTTCAGAGCCAAAGTTCAGAATTAGGCCATAAAAAGAGAAACTTCCTCTTCAGCCTGAGAAAACCAGAAGCTGCTGGAGGTTTTTACTTTTGTTCTGGTTCATCAGTGGTGATAAAATTCAGGCTTCGTTTTATGGAGTCGTCATCTCTCATCAATTTCAACTAAAATGTCAAATTCTGTGTTGATTCCTGAGAAAACCCGACGATGTTCATTCAGTCTTCAGGCTGATTAACAACAACATTTAATGCAGTTTTTCTGGGGCCCAAATATGAATCATTTAAGGTTTGTTTAGTAAAAATCTGCTATAACCTCGGTCTGCTTCAAAATGCGGCTGTGCTCATGGTTTTTATTAACTGTGCAGGAAGATGTGAATGTGACAGTTTGGTTTTTAAGATCAGAACAAGTTTGCTTTGCAGTCGTTTCATATCTGCAAAATATTAAGCTTTGCAAACCCAAATAATTTTTCTCATCTCCTGCTGGCGGTGCGTTTTGTCAGAATGAAAAGTCTTCAGATGTAACTCTTCAGCGAAGCGGCTAAGAGGAGGCACCTTGTCGACGCGGTCGGCCTGGACGCCGTACTTCCCTCCGAAGCCTTTGGACGTGTCGGTCTGGGAGCAATGCTTGGACAGTTTGCTCTGGTAGTCGTGACCCACAGCAGACTGAAGACAAAACAAATCAAATCCATTTTAAAAGCAACCGAACCCCATCCACATCAAACTGCAGCATTTCTTTGATCATTTCTAATAATTAAACATCTATATTCTACTCAGTTTTTTAAATTTGAGGTTCATAAAGTGTTGTATGCATTTCAGACAGAAATAACCAAAAACAAACATAAAACTGTTTTGAGATCATTTAAGGCTGATTATTATTTTAGTAAGCAATTATTCTGATGACTAATTGTATAAAAATTTGCCACATTTTTATTTAAGCACTTAAGCTCATTTTATACAATAGTAGAAATGCACTAAAATATGCAAATGAACAAATAATTCCTTTTTTAAATAAGAAAATACAGATTTTCTTGGATCAATCTGCAGCTAATCAACACTTCTACCATCAACTAAGTTAATGTGATTAAGTTAATTTATATAAATTAAAATGGTGTCGGGTTTTCTACAGAACCAGAACCAGGTGAAGCTAAAAGGATTTCTGGTAGAACAGATTTACAGACAAAGAAGGTTTTTATTCTAAATGCAAAACGTTTGTGTAGTTTTGTTTTGGGCTCCGACTGCGTTGCTCTTTCAGAAAATTGTCTCTTTTAAGGTCTTTACTGCAGTTAACCATCAATCGATTACTAAATTAGTTGGTTATTTAAACAATGGATTAATAGTTTCAGCCTTAAAATAATTAAATCACATAAAGCATGAAACATTAGTGTTTTATGACCATGAAGCCACTTGATGGAAACTTTTAGCTGATAGTATTATTGCTTTATAGAAATGATAAAGTTCCCATGACTGCAGCCTCTAAAAGGCATTAGAACCAGGAACCAGGAACCAGGAACCAGGAACCGTCCATCTGGTTAAACTGATGAACTGATGCAGGTCAACCTGCTGCCATAACAGATGATGCTGGACGATGAACCGACCCAGAAGTTATTGCAGTAAATGATAATATTGTTGTCTTGACTCCATTTTCAAGTAATATAATGATAATTGTATAACAGAAACCGGCGGCCCACCGGGTCGCTGCGTTCCCATGCAGACGACGTCTGACTCATCAGAGCTGTTTGGTGTAAACACACCTCACTCATCACATCCACGCTGCGGTGAACACACACAGACACACACCCGGCTCAGTTACTGCCGAGTGGGTAGAGAGTCAACCGGATGGATGGTTTAACTCAGAAACCATCCAGATGGATGGTTGGTTGGTCGGCCGATCAATAGGTCAGTCGGCCGATCAATAGGTCAGTCGGTTGATCAATAGGTCAGTCGGTTGATCAATAGGTCAGT